TATTGCATCATCTCCCACAAGCCCATCTGGTGTTGCACCGAGATAAGGAATTTCGTTGTCTACAAAGAGTCCACACTTTGAAACAGATAATGCATTGTGCTCTTCAAACCATTCTATAGCGTTAATTTCATTACCCCTTCCGTACCTCATTGCTGGGCAATCAATGTCGGTATATAACAATTGTTTAACCATGTTTTCACAGCTAGTAGTTTTTCGCCTTTTGCAAATACTTCCAAAGTTAGAGGCAGTGAGAAGCTTCCTCCTTTCTTCCTTCCACATTCCACATTCTGATTGCATAACAGTAGCTTTTTCAAGCTCTTCTCTTTCTTCATCTGTTCTTTTAAGGCTTTTGATAAATTCCCTTTTCTTTCTCTCCAGAACGTCTGGTTGCATGTCTGGCTTTTGAGCTAAGGGTCCATAGCTACTTTTCGACATTCTTTTCTCAACAATAGAATTTTTTTTCAAATTGTGTCTCTTTACTTTTGTTTTTCTTTTAAGTGCAGCCTTGCGTATTTTCATTGCTCTTCTATGTTGCATTGATTTTAAGACTTTTCTTGGACTATGTTTTATCATCGATTTGTAGAGGGTGTACAGTGATTGTCCTGTATTATGGGACACAACCGCTGCAGAACATCTAGCCTCATATGACCTGCCCTTAGAGAAGTTGACTCGTTTTCCACCTACTACTTTTGCAACGGCTGAGTTAAAATGCTCAGCTGGATTGTTGCTGTCTTGCAGTATCAAACTTCTGGCATTATCAACCAAAAAGCTTATGTGCTTCATTATCTTCTGATACATTCCACATTGCTTCATGGCAGGAACATAGTTTTTTTCTGACTTTTTCGGTCCTTGGCAAAAATACTTGAGACTCTTGCATTGGAGGTGCTCACCAAAAACATGGCTGGCGGAATTGGTCAAATCTTGCTGCAGAAGCAACACCGTTTTACCACCGACCGTACTACTTTCATTTTTCCTGTGCTTTGCAGCTTTTGTCACTGCTGATCTTAGGCGTAAAATATTGTTCCTAAGCAATTTCCGCATTTCCAGAGGACCTGATTTTGTATCAGAAGCAATATCACGCAGTTTCGTGCAGTAGTTTCTCAAAAGATGATTTGAACATTCAATTTTGTCTACTGTCCAATTATTATATGGTCTCGTGTCCAAAATTTGACTGTACACATTAGAGCCTCCATCAGCCAGAATAGTTCCATACACTGCATTATACATTTCCACACTCCTTTTAAATCCTTCCACAATTATATCTGCTTCCATGCTGGCTGAGCATCCATCCCAGTTTTTGTAGCACCTATGGTCTGTCACTGGGGTCGCACTTGTTTCTGCTCGAGAACAAATGGTACAATATTTGTTTCTAACGCCCAAGAACAACACCTTTTTTGTGTGTGCACCAACAATAGCAGCCTGTACAAAATTAAATAAGATTACAGTTATTATAACAAAGATACAAGTTAAAATTACAAAATTAGTCAATAGTTAAAAAGATTTCTAGAATTTCTTTGTTCTTTCTTTTGAATTTCCATGTCAAAACACATTCTAAACGGCTACCAGCTTTATTAATTAGATGCTAAATTAAAGTAAAAAAATAATAAATAAATAAATAAAAATAAATAAAGTAAAACGTCACCCGTTAGAAGTAAGGTAAAGAGCAGGTTGTAAAGATCCCTTACACAAAATGGTCAATAAAGTGTAAGATTCTCCATCAAAAGTATTGTTAAAAATGTGCTTGGTTGGAGACTCGAATATTGGCAGTAGTAAGTGAACATGTACTATCTACTTTGATAACAAATATTAATAAACAATGCATCGCGAATATTGGAATTTTTGCGTGGTGAGCTAATCAGATTAGCCTATATAGAAATAAGAGTAAGGTAAAGTGAGGGTAAAGTGTGAAAATGTGAGGGTTGTTATTGGTTGTAGTTCTTTTTTTTTGATAGAATAAATTGCCTACTTACCACCCCCGACAATGCATTGTAGTTTGTACGGTAGGATCTCTTAGACCAGCTGCCATCCGCGACAACCGTTAAAACTGGAATTCCATCATTAGTAAATCTTCCCTCATCGATCGCATGTTGAATTTCTTCTTTGGCTGCCTTTTCCATTTCCGCCAAAGCCGCAGCTTGCCAACCATCGGAAACTTGGTCATGGTATTTTATGTACGTGTTGGTTGACATAGAGGGAACTTCCATGGCTGATAAAAGCTCCTCCAGCTGAGAATGACCAATGCCAATTGCCATGGTACCTGCTACACTAGCAGTGTTTATGTCCATTATTTCATTGCAATCTCTTTCTGTGCTTAGTTTACAAATGAGATTGCACATATTGCACTTCAATGTAAACACGGATTTTAAACCGAATCTATTTTCTTTGATGCAGTTCATGTTTGATATTGTGCATCCCATCGTGTTGTTGTGGTCATTTATCTTTTTAACCTCTTGAAAAAAATAACTAAAGTCCACTACTCTTCTTCCAACAATATCTAAAGGGGTGATGTCATCTCCGTACTCATCAACTGAGTGAACTCCTTCGTTACTGTCACTGTTGTCAAAACTAATTACATAATTCAACGTTTCATCTGGTTTTGTAGGCACGCTGTACGGTAAACTCCTACGGCTGCGAGGTACGCACGGCGTACTGCTACACAAACTGAAAAAATGGAATTAAAATGAATATATACGATTTCGAATTTTTTAATTGTAGGCCTACTTGTGTTAAAATTAAAATTATGTAGCCAAAGTGATTAATAATAGATAAGTAGTCAATTTGAATAGATTTTTTACGAAATTCAATTCAATTTCCCATTGTAATTTAAATCAGCGAACTTGCTATGCAAATGAGTTCTTCACATTACTATCACTTTAACAGTTAATCCCGGCACCTGTCATAGAAGCTCACAACTGCCCCTGAACACGCCCTTTTGTTAGCCACTAGTTCTAAACATTCGTTCAATTTTGTTATTTATTTCGTCTAGAAAATTCATTCTATACAAATCCATTCGCATTTGAATTTTAAATTTAGATGTAAGTTTCACAGCAAATTAAGTATGTGGATTTTGTTTACCTATCACTGTACCGCATTTTATGTCAGTATTATAAACATTGTTTGTCAAATATTGTTGACAGTTTAACGTTGTACTTACGGTTGAAATTCAGCAACAGATGTGGAATCTTTAGAACTTCCATTTGTTATCTCTGGTATAATTTGTCTAATAGTCAAACTTCTCTCAACTTGCAACCTAAAATTAAAAATTAAAATTGTAATTATTTATGTAGAATAAATAATGCTTAAAAATTATGTTAGTTAGGTTTTTTTTCGTCGTCGTTTTTGTTAAGGAAATAATGAACAAAAGAACTGTAAACGTTTTGAATTTCACCTCACAAAGAGTTTACACCCTCAGAATAATTATTATACAGCGATAGCCTACTATTATATTCCATCGATTTTGTACTTACGGTTGTAATTCTGCAACAGAGTTTAAATTGTTGGAATTTTCATCTGTTACTTGGTGTGGCTCGATTTCATTAGCAATCAATTCCCTTTCACCTTGCAACCTAAAAGTTTAAAATAAATTGTTAATATGTGTACAGAATAAACATTATTAAAATCATATTAGATTAAAATTGTCGGTACAAGTTGACCGAATGTTTGTCACCCTCAGACAGCTTATTGTACTATTACTATAATTTAACTTGGTGTCAGGTTGTTCTAAGCTATGCTTTCTAAAAAATATTCGAATAACTTTTGCTAGAGGTAGGAATGCATGCTTTACGGGACACTGAAATTTACTTAAGACATGAAAAACACGCCCTGTTTTTATCTTCAATCTAATAATAAATTGATCATATTATACGTACACCTACAAAGTATACAAAAATGCCTCACCTGTTCATACATCTGTCTTGTCGCCATTTTACAAGTCCTGCGTTCACAACTTTTTTCCTCCGCGTTGCACTCAATAAAAGCCTAGATTTCTTGCCGCGCCTTCTTGCCATTTTCTTGCATCAAACAGTGAAAATAATACTAAATCAACACAATATGATGTTGGATATAGAAACAACTATTGTAGTAAGCAACAGGATACCAACACCTCACTCACGTAATGCACGAGTCCTCTAGTGTGGTGTGTGGACAGTGACAGTGACAGTGACAGTAGGCGAATAGCGACCACGTGTTGGTGACTCACCTGCGTCTGAGCCAAGTTTTGTAAAAGGCTAGTAGCGCAGTAGCCTCCCTTCGGCAGACCGGCGTTTGGGAGAAAACATGTTAATTTCGTCCCTCGTTTCGGACGCTGTTTTCCAACAGATTTTCTTGAAACTTGGCAACAATTTAGTTGAATAGTTATACTATGTCTCTTATACCTCAAAAATTGAAAATTAAACTAAAAAATAGTTTTACTGAACTTTAAAAGTAACTGAATTTACGTTACTTTTAAGATTTTGTTGTACTTATACTATTGATTTTCTTGGATATATCGTGTATGAGGGACCTAGAACCAACATTAATCTGTAAGGAAAAAAAGTTTTAGCAATATATCTTTACGAATTCTATCAGGAGCGAGGGACGCCCGAGGCATGTTTTCAATGTTTTTCGCAGGGGTGAAGAAGACTCTTAATAACAGGCGCTTTTCCCAGTTATTGATTGATTCAGGATTCAGTCTTTACCCACTTTACCCATATCTTATGTAAGGGTTTTGTTGAAGTTGTTTTGTTGGATACAATTAGACCAAAGTCTCTATTCCAAAGTAAATAGGCCTTTACCCTGTTTTTACCATGCAAATGTTAGCCAAAAATGCAGTAAAATTGCATACAAAAATAACAAATTATTTGCTATGAGTGAAAATGGAGGTTTTCTGCTGCAGGAGTATTTATTTAAATACAGCAACCTTTTTTTCCCCAATAGGTGGTTCGGGTTAGTGCTATTCAGACTCTGGTGTACTGTATACCTTTTGAAGTGTGGTGTTTTATTTATAACTGATGTTTGTTTAGATACAAGACTTGTCACTGGCTGGTATAATCGAGCTGTACAACTATAAGCTGACTGAGGTACAGAGGGCAGAAAGATCCCTGCAGAGTAGTTTGGAGGCGGCCGACAAACACAGGTACAGCTTTAACTCTTGAAGCCCCCGGGATTTGTTGAATTAGTTATGCCTATTTTTTATATGTTTTCCTTCATCTTAGGAACAATAAAACAGAAAACACAATAATCAAAACTTGTAAAACAGGTTTGTATACTCACAGTAGAATTAGGGGGAAATGGCCTAATGACATCTGAGGTGATATCACAAAAAAATCACCCTTACTGATATATACACCCAAGTCGTTATATTCACATTTAGGCTATTGTCCTACCTAGGTGGTTTGGTGGGTAACGATGATCATGTCTCTGTAATCACAGGAGATGAGGATGAGGATGCGTTTTGGCAGTCGAGATAATGGTGTGTGTTCCCTGCAATTACCGGAGGTTTTCAGAATTTTGCTGCTTTGGAATGTGCTGATAATGATATCCGTGCGGTTGTGTGAAACGATAGCAGTTCAGTAAAGACTGAAAATTAGTTCCTTCACAAGAAGGAGAAAACTGGAAGGGATTGGCCCTCTAAGACTACAATGTAAGGAAATATCATTGCAAAACCAGTTAAAGTATCTTGGAGTAATACTAGTCAGATCACTTTACTGGGGACTGCACCTTCATTGACCGAGATAAGTGGTCCCTCATCGCATACAGGCAATTGGCGGATTGGTGAGAGGGACATGGGGAACTGCTCACACTCTTGCACTGGTTGTATATATCCGTAGTCCAGCCTGCTATGCCACACGGCTCGCTTCTATGGTGGATCAAGGTTGAGAGAGTTGCTGCGATGAAAGGTTTGGTTCAAAGACTTGCTGGCCTCATCATCATTGGGGCAAGGATGAGATGTCCTTGACTGTTTACTGGACCTTCTACCCAGTGACATCTTCATTAGTGTAGTAGCTAGGAAGGAAACCCTCCACATGAGATGCAAAAACTTAAGGCTAACCACAGGTATGATTTGGGCTCACTCCAAAATCGTTCAGGTGGTACATAAAAAAGTACTGGATATGCCAGCAGATCACATGTCCGAAAAATACTCCTTTGTCAAGCCATTGAACAGGTTGATTCTTTGTTGGCTGCTTGTTCATTCTGGTTTAGAAGTTACCATGCTGGTGACAAACTTTGTCTGGTCCCTTCTATGGCATCTCAGGTAAGTATATGTGGACCATCAAATTCGAGGCTACAGAGAAAGTCCTAGGAGTTAGGCTAATTCACTTATTTTAAAAGTAACTAAGCTCACTTTTCACATACCTTCAAAACAGGTTGCCTCAGATACCCTGAAGTTGGATAGGAGAAGAATCAGAAAACAATATGACTGATTAACGGAATGAACTGTTAAGAAAGCATCTGCATTGTCTGGGTTAGTATGATGTTGCCCCACTATGCAGGAAATGTGGCAGGTTCAAAAAGACTACTTGAAGATCACCTGCTTCCTGCAAAGTCACCTTCCTAAAGAAACAGATGGGTAGAATGTATCATGTGTCTGGACATTGAAGATCCCTGAATACATCAACTGACTGGGTGTGCAACCATTTGACAAAACCGGATGAAGCGCATTGAGGCTTCGGCATGCTCCTTTTCCTTATAATCTTTCGCAAGGAAAATCCAGTCCCAAAAATTGTTTAAATAAATTCCTGTCCTGTCAGGAAATTTAGTAAAATCCCATCCAGTGTTATAAGGTCAGTGAATACAACATAAAATTGTTAATTGACAGCATCAAACTCTGTATATGGTTCAATTAAACTACGGTCCTTTTTTGTTGTAAAACAGGCTACACCTGAACCATAGGATGTCTAGTACTCTCCTAGGTCCACCTAACCTAGTGTCTGTCTCAGGACCCAGCTATCTCATAGAGTAGCACAGCTGTCTGCAGAGACTGGTCGACTACATCAGCTATTATACTCCAGCCATCAGAGTGTAGAGAGTTGTCAGTCAGAGTCAGAGTTGTTGAGAGAGCAGCTACGAGCGGCCCAAGAGTCTGCCAGCTCATCACACATCAAGTTCAAACAGGTAAACGTTTCAAATTGTCCATATTTTACTAGACACATGAAATTTTGTTTAGATTAGCGAACAATAGGGGTCTGTGAGTCTACAATATCTTTGGGTCGGACCAACTGTTCTCCCTAGAGATCAGTTTGGCACAGAATCAATGTTTGGGCCAAATTCAGGTAGGGCTTCACTCGACACTCCTTTTGACAACATAACTCTTTTATTTTTGAGATAGCAAAAAGCATTTTTGAGGATGTACAATCATAAATTGATGATTTCGCCACAGTCGCAGGTGATATTCACGGTTTGTCTGCAACGGAGGGAGACGATGATGATGTCGCTGTGACAATGAGAGATGTTCAAGATTTTACAATGATTGCGAAAGATGTTCTCTATTTTGCTGTGACAGCAGAAGATGTTCCCTATTTCTTCGTGATATATCAGAAGATGTTTTTTGATCTCGCCATGACCTTAGAAGATGTTATCAATCGCCCCTTTTAAAAGATGTTTAAAATTTTGCTGTAACTGTGGAAGATGTTTTTGATTTTGCTGCAACCGCAGAAGATGTTCATGATTGCACCGCAATATGAAGATCATGAACAATATCATCTATAAACCGATTGTAATATTGCAGCAGATCCATAGCGATCGACCATTTGATTTTGTCTTCTTGCTTTGCTTATTTATTGGCCTATTGTTTTTAAATCTTTTTTTTATCTGATATTGAGGTTTTGTAGGAGGTGGTACCTGGTAGTAAATGATCTAATGTGTTTCTCTTCTCTTTAGTATCAGACATGAGTAAATAATACTAATGATTGAGTAATTGAAATGAAGTAACATCTAACAATATTAAAAAATTACAGAGACTTCTGGATATACATACAGTATAGAATATCTCTGTATTAAAATTAAGTTGTACTTTTAGACCAGTAGATTTTGTATAATAGAAAGACAGACAGACTCCATCTTACTTATATTGATTACTGTGTCCAAATGTGTAATGGTAATTCCACTTAGAATTAATTTGTGAAATGTCAAGTAGAAGGATGCATGATCGAGTTATATATTTTCATCTTTTTAACAATAAAATGTTTGTGTATATTTCCAACCAAAGTCTGTTCTAAGAGCTTATTAATTTTACAGCTAAAACAAGACGTCAGCTCAAAAAGCATGATTATTAAAGAACAGAGCGAAGAAATATCTAAAATGAAGAGAGTTATTGAAGATCAAGAAAAGAGATGTGAAACACTGGACCAAAAGACAGCGGATTTGGAGAAAAAGTCAGAAGTTTTGAAACAGACCCTTCAAAACCTCGAAGCAGAAAAATCAGGTAGTTTGAAATACTTATTTTATATATATAAAACAAAAATGGTAGCTATGCCCATAGTGAACTCACACAAGTGGTTCCTAACAATATATTATGTCCCTTGTTAAAATAAAAGCACAAAGAGAACTCTAAATGGTAGTTCATCTTCAGGACTACTATTGAGTTCTACTTAACTAAAAAAAATTAATTAACCTTTTCATGGTAGAATTTTTTTATAGTTTACCTGACTCTCTCACAATAAATTTTGATGATTGCAGATCTTCAGGCAGCTAACACTAAAATGTTAGGCCTTATAAAAGGGCTGGAAAAAACAATCAAAGAAAAAGAAAAAGAGGTTGGTGATCTGGAGAAACGTCTTGCTGAGAAAGAAAAAGATTTGCAGGAATCAGAAAGAACCAGAAAATTGATATTTGATATTGTTGGAGGAAAGAAAAAATAACTTACTGTTTTAACTCCATCATAAATAATTCTCTTTTATACTTTTGGTAAAAAGCTAATTATTGTTCATATCATGTTATATATTCAATTTTGTACAATATAAATATTTTTATAATATTTCACTGTGGTTGAGTTTCTTGTAATAATTCCCATTTTGGATTTTAAAAACATATTTCTCCCCTTTTAGGATTTTTTGCCGTTTTCCAAAACTGATTTGATAACCTTTTCTGAGGGTTGTTTTCAAACAAAATTATACGATAGATAAACAATACCCAGGGGATGAAGTTAAAAATAGGTCAAGGAACTCCGTGTTATGTACAAAAGTGTACCTATCTTATCTACTCCTCAATTCCACTTTCTCTGTGCAGTAAATAAATATCTTAGGGAGATAGTCAAGCTATCTGTATCAACATCTTTACGACTCTCACTGAGTACATTTTACTTTTCTGTACCTTCACGCTTCCATTAACATGTGTTGGTATTTTGCCTTGATGATCTGGATTTTCTCTTGTCAAATTAGTTGTAAAAAGCTAAAGAAGCAACTTAAAAGTAAAGAAGAGTTGCACAAGTCCTGGTGACATCTAGTATCACTGAGTCTGCCATTTAAAACCCAGTAGAACTCACCCATATTGATTAGGGCTCGGGGTGTTGATCCAGATTTGTTGAAATTCAAGTAATGAACTGGGTATACCTCAAGGAGTGCAGGGCCGAGTGCTGTTTGTCTATACACTTTGACGAGGGCCATTTTACAGCATGAGGTTTGGCAGGGCGAGTGCCGGCCAGGTATCAATGACCGGTGCCATGGTGCAGCAGGTATGGGGGTGGAAAGATCAACCAGGGGGTGAGCAAAATTTGTTTTAGGGATAAAATTAAACTGTTATAACCTAAGTAAAACTTGCTGATTATTAAAAAAATTGAATGAATGTTTACTAATCGAATCTATATTAATTCTCAATTGATATCAGGGTAGCCCAGTTAAGAAACTGTACCCGGTAGTTGATAAGCTCGGATTACTCCCGGTCTCCGTTACATCCTGCCCACTCCACCCCTTCCACTAATAACCCCCCTGAATCACGCTTACGCTCTGGCTCTGGGGAGTCAAACGGCACTCGGGCCTAAATGACGGTTTTGACAGTTTATAACCCCCACTGCAAAGAACAGACCCCCGTTTCTTACCTCAGGAGTTACCCTAAGCAAAAAGTATCACCACATAAACAAAAATACATTGGTTGAAAACATTTTTGTTCGCATCATAATTCTTGCAGTACTTGTTAGGATCTCACATACTTTTTCCGCCTTTTACAGTATATAGGAAAATTAATCCATTAGATGTTGCAAGCAAACATCCCATTTATTATAAAATCTGAAGCCTGGTGTAGTTCCAATCCAATTCAGTGTGCTGATTTTGACTCTTATGTGTTTTTATCTTTTGTGCCTTACTCATTCATAGCAGCAAAGAACAAGTAATCGTTTTCTTTTGTAATATTTGAATAGAATGTGTTATTAGGTTAAAATAGTTTTGAAGTTTGTGAATTTACACTCATAAGATATAAATAGAAACACACTACATAATATACTGGGCATAAAGATATTTTTTTATCCTTGCTGATTAGGGTGATTGATTCATAAGAGAGTAAGTTTAATCTGCCAGGGCAGGTTTTTGGTGGCTAGAACCTTTTTAACCACCATAGTTTGTTACTTTGACTCTAAAAAAAACCAAGTAAGAAAATATACAGTGTTTGAACAAAACTTTTATTCATACATTCATGTTATTTAACAGAAAAAATATACACAGCTTCTTAATCTAATAATATCCACTTTTTCAATAGTTCATCCATAAATCAATGTAATAATTAATAAGAGCATACAATAGAACTCCAACTAGGCTTTATGAACCATTTGTAACCGTACCATATTTGGATAATCAAACATTTGGATAGTTTGATTTTTACCCAAATTTTGAGTATTTAATTTTTTGTTATATGTCTGTGAATAATTCACGATTGAAAAATGCATTTCTATCATCATGATTGATGAATACTTTTTGTGACCACGGGAGCCGATGATGAGATTCTGTGACCACAGGAGACGATGTCTAGAAGAACAAGAACGCAAAATATTTTCAATATTTTGCAGCATTTGCAGAAGATTATGATATCTACAAGACCATGGAAGACATTCAAATAGGTACTTTTCTGCGACCACGGACGATGAAGAGGTTTCAATGACCGTGGGAGACAATAATGATGTCTATGACCGCGAGATACGTACAGGATTTTACCGTGATCATGTCTTCTGTTTCTGAAATCATCTTCTAACATCTTAAATAGGATTCTTATTAGGCCTACTGTAGTTTAGGTTTTTTTTTTATTCTTTCCGTAAGCGATTCAAATAGTCGGTAATTCGGACAGTTCAATGTCTACTGTACTAACAGTTTTTACTAATATCAGATTGAAATGGATCCACTAACCATTTGTTAAATTGTCATTTTCATCCTTTACATCATATTAATCAATCAAACTTCGGTGGATGACGGATTTCACTAATTTCAATGATAAAGTAATTAAATAATCCATTGTAGTGTGCATATTATTTAAAACAATTTCTGTATCCTACTATCTAAGCAGATCATAAATTTACAGTAGCTTATTTTTAGATAATGTAAACTCTTACCTTAGCAATCCTTATTATGGTTGTCCGATATTAATTTCGAACCCGTAGGTTCATCTTCAGTCGGAAGTTTAGGTAGACCAAATGCTTATTATAAGATCCACCCGATGGGCTTCTTAGAAATGTTGACATTTAACACGAACACGATACACATTACAATTGACATAAATAATATACGGAGTTTAGGGATAAAAACCATGGTTTTATAAACAGTGGGATAACCTCACTTCAGTCAGGGAACACGCTGCCGGCAGAACTGTCAAAATAGTCAGGATTGTGGGTTGAGGTTATGTTGACATTTGTTTGGTTATGTTGAAAATGTCAACATAACCTCAACCCACAATCCTGACTATTTTGACAGTTCTACCGGCAGCGTGTTCCCTGACTGAAGTGAGGTTATCCCATTGTTTATAAAACCGTGGTTTTTATCCCTAAACTCCGTATATTATTTATGTCAATTGTAATGTGTATCGTGTTCGTGTTAAATGTCAACATTTCTACGAAGCCCATCGGGTGGATCTTATAATTAGCATTTGGTCTACCTAAACTTCCGACTGAAGATGAACCTACGGGTTCAAAATTAATATCGGACAACCATAATAAGGATTGCTAAGGTAAGAGTTTACATTATCTATTTGATTATTAAGCAATCCAGAGGCTGAAATGATTGATAGCTTAATTTTGTTACATTATTACAGATCCAATACGAAATTTCAATTTTGTGAGGGTAAGATGGACAAACATAAAGATCTTCTATGTCCTACCATGACTCAACTGTGTGTGAATGGCAATCAAGTTGTCGGCTGACAATATTTACATATTTATTACATTGAGGTTTTCTCTTGAAATAAATATAAGTGCAAAAAGGCAACTTAATGAAACTGAGGACTAATGTACAAAGACCAAAGATATTTCTCAAGAACGTTGATGATTATGTTTTTTTCTTCTGTCTGAGAGAGAAACATCAATAAAGATAAGTCATTTGCGGATCTTTTTGTTGAGCAAACTCGCAACATCTCATTACTTGTGTCCCACTTTCTTTGAAGGGCAATCATTGGGATATTCTGGAACACTTCAATTTCTCTGTATATCATATCAGTGAATTCATTACTGTCAATAGATTTGTTACAATATACACTGGTTTCATTCTTAAAATCTGACGCTACTTGTTTAATTTCATCAATAAGTTCATTTACTTTAGCTAAATCCGTACTGTATGCTGTTGAAGTTACTGCATTAAACTCGTTGACTTTATGCTCAACTTTCTTCCACGTTTCATTTACTTCGGCTGAGAGAGTGAGGATTGACAGCTTCAGATCTTCTAAAGTTTGGTAATCTTCATCAGAAATCAGCAGATTATTTTCCTCCCAAATTTTCTTTTTTTTTCTTTCTTTTTGAATCTTTTCCAATAAATCATTTAGGCGTAGTTGCACATGTTTGTTATTCATGTCATCTTCATCTACCTCTTCATTTATTTCCCTAAGTTGACAGCTTCCTTTGTCAGTTTCTTCTTTGTTATTTCTGTATACATCTATGAATTCCTTTAATAGTTCTTCTTTTTCTTTCTGGAGTTCATTTGAGTCCAATATTTTTCTCTGGGCAATCTTTTGAATCTTCTGTCTGTTTTTTATCACCATAATTTTTAGGTCTCTCAACTTTTCTTCAAACATCATCGAAGTTTCATCTCTTAAATCGGGTGTGACATCTATCTTAGAATGCAGAGATTTCAGAGCTTCCTTAGCATTTCGGACAGTGCCATCCAGTATGTTATCAGGTTTAAATTCCAATATTGAACTCATCATCTCGCACATGTATTCACTATCATCATCTGTATCCTTGAATGGATAACTGTAATTCTTAACGTAATTACTGACTGTGTACTTTTGGTGGCTAAGCTCGTTGTAAGAAGTAGATGTTTTATCAGCTTTCAATGTTTCAACAGTCTCTTCGTCTAGACTGAATTTCTTGCAGTCTTTAGAAAGTCTGGAAAGTTTCAAGTCCAAGATGGTCGTTTTAGTCTCAATTTCACTTAATTTGTCCTGTTCCCACACTTCTACAATCTTTTTTTGTAAAAGGCTGGACTTTTCATTTTTCAACTTCTCATCGATCACCCTTATCTCTTCCTTTAGCTTTTCTTTTTCTTCTTCAATTTCAAGAATTTCTTTTACTTTGTGAAGCTGATTGACAGAATCGAGTTTGAAGTTTCTAAACTGTCCAAGATGTATATTTTCGTTCTCAAGCCTGTTGAGTAGAACATTCTTGCGTATTGTACTGGCGACATCAGTTCGCATTACTTGAGCTTGCAAATGTCTCCAGACTGATCGCATCTTG